TTTCTCAAAAAAAAATGTTTCGTTCATAGACTTTCAATTTTGTTCCTCTTCTTCTTCTTTGTTCCCTCAAAATATTTGAAATAACCAATAGATTAATGAGATTCGAAAGAAGACGCTAGTGGTCATCTATTTACTATTTTCGTGTATAAAAGTTTATTTCATTTATAATTTAAAAAAAAGAGCAATAGATTGTTTTTTTAAACTTAAAAAGAAGTATTGTTAATAAGACATTCCAAAGCTCCTCGATTTTTTAAATTATTCCAAATACAAACAATTTGATGAAGCGCAATATATTGTTCCTAATTATAAATAAATATGAATTATTATATAAGAACATGTCTATTTACCAAAGACATTAAAGCATGTTTTCGTTGTTGACAAATGTCAGTAACAAAATTTTCAATAGATACTCGACCATCGATTAATAAACGATCAAATATATTTTGAACTATACAATAGAATGCTGCTTTTGTACCACCATCACTAAAAAAACAGCAATGCTCATTTTTATGACTTTTTTTGTCAGATTTTCTGTTGTGAATGAAATATTTTTATAGAAATAAATGATAATTTGCTTGATTTACTGGCTCTTTGTCGAAAATGAAGTACTTTGAAAGAGATATATCCGGTGTCTTTAAAAGGTTTTAACTAACCGATCATGAACAATAAGACCAAGTCGATTAAGATCAAGTTTACGTTGATGATAAATTGCTCGATCAACAAAACGAATAAATTGTTCGAGATTTGTTGGTAAATATGTATTATCATTTGTCCATTCACCAGTATATTCAAAAATGAATATATCTGCTTCACGTACAGTATTCTTTAAATTACAAAAAAAAGACATTTTATTGGAAATATAAATAATTAACTAACATGTTTAATTTGTATTTTATGTGATTTATAATAATCACCAAATGTATGTTTTGATCGATGAACAGTTGAAATATCGACTTTTATTCCACTTGAACTAACAAATTCTGATTGTGTATAATTTGATTTTTCTAACTAGAATTATAAATAAATATAAATTCTTTATTTTTAACAGAAGAAAAAGAATAACTTGTTCAACAGCAACAATAAATTTCTTATGTTCTTGTAAAATCATGGAAAAGAATGGTTGTAATGTAGATTGCATCGGTTCTTGTGTTAATATTGTACCACTCGGTCCTATTACATTCTAGTAATTAATAACAAAAAGAAAACGAACTCAATCAATCTATCGAAAATCTAGTCTTACTGTTATACTTGATGCATTGATATACATTGATTCACTAGGTGAATGAAGTATAACACGATTTTGATCATCTAAAATAAGACAATCAAATTTTGGTTAAGTCAATAAAATTCAATCCTTATACATGGAATAAATAATTGATTTCGATTACAATTGGAATATTGTTTAGCCGTTAATGTTGTTAGATAATGATCAGATTCAATACGATTATTACGATTCTAATAGATAAATAAAGTAAAAAAAAATCATTTATGAAAGAAAAATTACTTCATAATCGTCATAGATTATACTATTTTCAATACGAGCTGTTGGTAATAAATTCTTATAATATTCAATAAATGTATCTAAACCTCGACCATCACAAGGATGTATAGCTACTGCAGCTAAACATCGATATATATATTCATATTGTTCCTAATAGAAATTTATAAATTAAATAAATAATTATTTACAAGCATTAATAAATCCTACAACTGTTTGAACAAGATGTGCTCGATAAAGGCGAATTGTATCAACTATTTTTTTAACATTTAATATCTGTTGACGTTCGAAAGCTCCCATCAAATAATAAAGTGCTACAAATACACCTGTCCTACCAATACCTGCACTATAAAATTGGCAAGTAATTATAATTCAAATTAAAAAATTACTAGTTGAAGATAATTTTCAAACCTGCAATGAACAAGTACACGATGATGTCGATTCATAGGTTCACGTAATCTCATTACTAAACCAATTATTGAATGACAATCCAATGGTATACCTTTATCCATAAAATGAGGATAATGTAATTGTTCACAATTGTGTACAATATCTGTTAACTAAATGAATTTAGTTTAATTTATTAATTCTTTTAATTTATTTTACTTTAGATTTAATACGTAAACGTCGTCCAATATAACGATATGATGGAATAATAGATGTGGTACGAATTGTATATGATTTTGTTTCAATAACAGCATTGATTTTATCAGAAAAATATGCTGCATGTTCATGCTAAGTTTTTTTATTGTGTATAGAAAAGATTTAATACAAATACGAAAATGTCGATAATTCACTAACTGCATAAGTACATGTTATAGGATCATATGTATATGAAAGCATAACAATTACGGATATTTGTTGCTCAACAATCATTCGTATAAAATCATCAAGTGTTTGCTCACTAGGCCCTGAAAATATAAATCAATCTACATAATTTTAATAATTATTTCGTTAACCTTGAGCTGCATAAAAGAATCTTGAAGGAGGTACTGTGGATATTTGATTCTAGATTTAATTATATATATATATATACATATCTTGAATTATATTATTTTCTTTACTCCATACTGGTGGAATAGACCAAATAACTGATGCATTTATATAATCTGAATGCTCATTAGATTGATCATTTATTTCTTTTTTTAAACAAACTCGACAATAATCTTCATCATCTAAATTAAAATAATAAATACAAAAGATGAATAAAATGATTTATATTTCTTTTACATGGATAAACTAATGCATAACGATTTTTAGATTTATTAACTGGATTTGTTGCAATAGTTGTACGATTGGTATCCAATTTTTGAAGAGTCTAAATATGGAAAATAAGATAATTCATTGAATATAATTTCAAAAAACAAACATTAAATTCTCTTTCGAGTAGAATACCATCATTTGCAACTAATGTTCGCCATTTTTTAATTGCTTCTCCAGCTGTAAAATTATATGGATGTTGAAATCCGTCCATATATAGTGTGTTTTATTTCAGCGTAGAAAAGGAAAAGAAAAGATACTCTCATAACTATTGTAAATCTTGACAGACGTTTGTTGATAAGCATATCTATACCTGAATAATAGAAAGTTGCTTTTGTTCTTTTTCTTACGTAACTTTAAAAATATGAAGAAAAAAAACGTTTTTATATGTGAAAACTAAATGGAAAATGATATTATTTGATACGATTATAGAACATAGAAATGAGTTTTTTTTCTGTAGTATTTATGCGTATTGGCTATGAAGTTGATAAAGAATATCAAAAGAGAAAAATATTGAACAGTCTATTCATACCTTATTAAAACACATAGGTACATTCTTTGAGTATACGTTACTGATGACGTCGATATTCTTCTTCTTTTCTTTAATATAGACATGTTCTAATTAAGCTTTAGTTCCTATGACATGTTTCTCTTCTTTTTATCAAAATTTTTCAGTTCTTATACTTTGAAATTATCTTATCATTGCAAATATACTTTAGATATTTATATTTCATGATAGTTCCAAAAAAAGACATGGATAAACTGTGATGTTCACAAAAATATTAGTTCTATTAATATATTAATGATATGAACAGACCGAGGAACTTCTAGAGTATTTCATATTTCTATTATTCAAAAATTTTAATTTACACTTGTTTCAACGGGTTGATACTGTATAATAATTACTATAGATACATTTGAAATATCCCTGACTTTCATATATTTCTTATCTTTGTAGTCGTTATTGTAATGAATACTATACAAATCTTTTTTCTTACTTCATTTCTCTCTTAGTTAAATAAATATGATTTCCACATAACCCTCAATTGTGCATCGTACTTTTAATGTTTGATTAAGTGAGCACTATTATTTCTTATCCGATGTCTCAATAGAAAAGCTTTCGAATCAATTTTTTTAAGTTTTAATATTTTCTATTGTGAAGTATGTCTCTCTTAAGACTACTCCCTTCCTTGAAAAAATACGATTTTCGTGGAAAACTTCTAAATTGAGATGAGTACATGGGAAAATAGACGATTTTTGTTGACCACTTGTTAACAAGTATGTTTATAGTAAGGGAGAAAACGAAAAAAAAATGTCCTTTTTTCTCAGTTTACACTTTTTTCTATCGTGGGACTCAAAATTCTCTATTCAGATTCATTTCTATATATTTAAGCTTTGTTTTTTTTTGAAAGAACGTGTTAAGATACAACGCATGATAAATTCTTTTTTTTAAAATAAATATATAGATACTTGTATAAAATAGATGTTCATTTTTAGTGAGTTTCTAAGCTCTTCAACTTACGACGTCCTCTTTCAGATAAAAAATAAGAATTGCAAAAACAGAACTCCATCATACTCGGCACTTTGACATGCTCTTTCAAACAAAAAAAGTTTCAATATATAGAATGAGTCTGAACCGAGAATTTTGTACTCACAAGTGAACTATTTTTCATCTCTGTTCGGTCGATATCTTCCCTCAAACGTCGTTCTATCCACCTAAAAATTCACCATAGCTTCTCTATTATAGTCCTAACGTATCTTGAAATATCATTCTATTTGAACGTATACGAACTGAGATCGGTTTTTGAGGGAGGAGAGATGAGTGATCGTAATACAAAATACTTGAGTTGAGGTAATTATTAGTAAAAAAGTGACATGCTTATAAACAGAAAAACAAAGTAGTAGTTTGATTCATTCTGTATTTTTTTTCACCTTCCATTGAAACCATTCATTTTATATGTGTAATTCATTTGTAGCTTTGCAATGTTTTCTTTTTACATTATGCATATTTTTATTCCTACTATAGTAAAAGAAACTGAATAAAAATATAATACATATGCAAAAGTAAAAAAAGTATTTGGTGCAATAATAACTGTTTTTTTCTTTCTTCAAATATTAAAAAAATCGGCGTGACAACACTGTGTTTATCTGTAAAAGTTGGTTCTTTTCCACAAATGAAATATTTGTATTCGAACTTTTGAATCACAGGGAAAAAGATCATTTAATCATTGATTTTTTGATTATGAAAGCGTTGATTACTATATTACTATTCATATTTTTATTCTTTCAATCTTTCGAATGTGATGTCTCGAATATTTATATACGTAAGATTATATTATTAGTATAATATATATGACAATTTTCTATTTGTTTTTTAATAGAACCAGAATTGGCAGTATTAAATTTGAGCAGCACAACCAAATTCATATGTATTAAAGAAAAAGATGATTATCGAGGATTTGAAGTTAATTTATTACCAAACATTTCGTCGCAATATGTACAAATTTCAATTAATCGTCTCAATAACACTGCTACTGGAATAATTATACAATCATTCGATTATATAGGCGCATTCTATATTATATGTTCGTCAACAGGAGAACGAAATCTCAGTGCTCGTTCAGATATTCTGATTGGCAGTAAGCAAGTGTAATATAATTGTATTATTCTTATCTATGATCACATATTTTTTAGGAGAACCTGGATTACTAATGCGTACAAAACGTTGTATTGTATATTATGATGCATATATCGATTGTACAATAATAGCACCAGTAATGGTACAAGCTAATACTAATAAATTACCTTATGAAATTAATTTTTTTGAACGTATTTTGTCGTTAGTAGATAGGTTTTTTCATATCTAAAATAATTCAATTCGATTTATTTAGTTACCAAAAGAGAATATATCAACTTCATCCTGAATTAGTAGAAATGAATCCGATTAATGGAACTTTGACATATCGATGGTTTCCAGAATCCACTAAAAAATTCCCCCCAAAATTAAAAATGGTTGTCTATGCAACAATACATCATTTTGGTACAAGTAATTATACAATGGATATGACACCAAGTAATAAACTTTTTTGTTTTTGTAAAAGAAAATAATCGATAAATATTATTTTTGTTTATTGATAAATAGTTTACAATATATCATCGAATTTTACAGTTCCAGTTATATCTTCTACTGATTTAAAAATTGAATTTAATTATGGAAAGTTTTCGTCATTATCGTTTTGTCATGGAAATTTAACGAACGAAGAACAAATTCAAACTTTAAACGTAGTATAAAAATTTTTAATTGTTAATATTATTTATTTTGATCTAATTTTCATTATTATAGAAACAAGATATTCGAACATTTGATGAATCTAATGAAGATATTTATGTAAGTGATTTAAATCCTAATACTTGGTATCAAATATGTTTTCATTGTCGTCGTGATTCATCAATTGATACGATTAGCAACACTGAATGTTATCGTTATAAAACTTTAGAAGAATCACGTATATTTTTTTTTCTTTCAAATATTTGACACACTTTTTTTTCCTAAAATATTCTATTTAGATTGGCTCACAAGACAGATGGTTAATATAATCACTACTATGATTATCTGTTGTCTTTCAATCATTATATTGTATATAATGTAAGTATTTCAAAGATATATTAGTTAATTTGTAACGAATTTTTGTTTTTCATAGATTTTGTCGAAGACGGAATTGTGCTTGGATTAGAGGGAAATTATTATGTATATTTTGTATTGTACGTATTTTTCTGTAGTAAGAAATTGTCTATTTCTAAGCAAGTGATTTTTTAGAAGCAACCTGAAGATAATGAATTGACGAATATTGATCATGGACGCGCTATTGAATATATACAAGTACAAACAAATTACGATACTCATTTCTCACGATCTGACATATAATAATAGTCTTTCAATTTTTTATTATTTTATTTATAAAGAAAATATTTTCTCGTTATTAAGCGTATATCACATTTGTCAATTAGGAAAGTTAAGACAAATAAATATGAAATATTATTGTCTAGATTTATTTCATATAGAAATAAAGAAAAAATAAATGTCATTTATTTGATTGAACTTGTTCTTGAACAATATACAGAAGTGTGGATATTCTTAATGTAAGCAATAAGTGTCTTTTCTTTTCTCATCAATTCAAGAATACTTTTTGTTTAAATGAGCAAAAGAAAAAAAAACTTGAGAAATTTCTTTTCTATGTCATCTATAATGCAAAGAGAAAGAAAGCCTTATGTTTCAATGACAAAACTTTTGTTCGAGCGGCCCTGCTCAATGAGTAGTTTTATTCCAACAGCAAAGAAAAAGAATTTCGAAAGTTATTAGTAACATTTCTTTTCATCTGTACAGTAGAAACTGTTTGTTTCGTTTTTTAAAAATAGTTGAAGTATCTACTGTTTTACTAAACAAATCAGTTTCGTAGAAAGACAAATATTACGCATTTTCTTATGGTGCCTAGTAATTATTCCCAACATACTCAAATGGGACAAAATAATAATACGAAAATAATATTTTTTTAAATCATTCTATGACAAAGTAAACATATTAGGTCAATGGTTTGTGATTAAATAACCTGTAAAAAAAACTGCAAAGTCTTCTTTTTATTTTATATGGGGAAAAATCTCTTGAATAAAATTAACTATAACAGATGAAATTAATTTGATAACCTTGGATAGATCTTTCAGGTTTTTTTTATGTATAAAAGATAATAGTTATATATATCTTAGGGTAAAATTCTTTTAGCAAATAGTTTCTTTTTATATTTCATCGATAATTTTGATTTTGAAATATATTCTCTCTCTTTCCTAAACAAACACTTTCATTTACATTTTTCTCTTGGGTTAAGAAAAAAAAAAGTACAGATTATTTTTTCTTCTTCTTTCTCTTCTTCCTCGTCTTCTGCCAAGTTACATGACGCATATTTACTTTCACCGACAATCGTTGTGTTTTGCGAGGCCCATGCGACAATTTTTAGCTTATAATTATGAATTTCAATGATATTAATTAATATTCTAGCCTATTAAAGTTATTTGGCTTTCAATTATTCTATAATTTATATGCATTTATCATCAATATACTTATTTTTGGTTAGTTAAATGTTTTGTTTCCAAGAACACAAAGTTTAATTTCTACGAAGGGTAAAATTTGATCAAAAACAGTTTTTTTTCCTTCTTTATCCGCGAAAAACAAAAACGTTAACATGCACAACAAGTCTTTTAATCTGCTTTTCATGTCATAAAAAGAAATGTTTACTAAACAGAACCAGTGTCGATCATTGTTCATTTTAATCTTATTTATTCTAATGAATTTTTGTTATACTGAAACAATTACAACTGAATTCCGTCCAACAGACATAGAAATAAGTATGAATATTTTTCTATATAGATTCCGAATTTGTAAGCTTTATTTTTTTATTTTTTAGGACCTCATATAGTCATTCTAAATTCTACGAGTACTGTTAATTTTACATGTTTCAATTATCAAACAAATAATTCATCGTTAGAAGCAAGTTTATCTAAAAATATTTCATCGAATGAAATAAAACTATTCACCAATCCTTTAAATACAACAGCGATTCATATTCGACTTGAATCGACAAATTATGTTGGAATATTCTATTTGCTATGTTATTCAAACGGCGAACAGAGTAAAGGCACTCGCGCTGATATTATTGTCGTAGGTAAAGAAATAACGTTGTCTCTCTCCCTTTTTACTGATATCACTTTCATGAGTATATAAAATATTTTACTTTTCTTTCCTTTCACATTATAAATGTATGTCTGATTGATATAGACGAAAAAAACCCACACATGTCCTTTTTAGCTGCACCGGGCGTACTTCAACTTGCTGAAAAATGTCGCGTCTATGACAGACAATACATTAAATGTGTAATTCGAGCACCGACAATAGCACGTGCTGTTCAAAATGATTTTCCAGTACGATTTGAGTTTAAAGAAGCTGCTAATTCGTAAGTGATTGTAATACTTATAAAATAATTATTACTTATTTTATATTTTCAAGTCCTGAGCATATGGCTTACAGACCACAATTTAAATTCTTAAGAAATGAAAGTAATTATGAAAATTTAATATTCAAATGGCAACCAGCAGTAGACGGAGAGTTTCCTAGTGGAGTACGAATGCAAATGAAAGCAATGTTACCACATTTCGAACCATCATCTTATAATTTCGATATGACTCCAGGTGAGTTATATAAAAGAAAAATTTTTCTTTTCAATTTAATCTAAATAATGAGTTTTATATTAATTAAAATCGACACTTCTTTAATTGAAAAAGAAACCATACACGAGACCATTTGTAAAAGGAATTCTATTAAATAAAATTGTAGTTTTTACAACTAGTGCAAAAAAAGGACTGGATTTTAATCTTTCAAAATAAATATTCATAAATCATATCTAAATCAGTTTAGTCACTTTCAATTCTTCCCGGAGAACAAGAAATTGATATATAAAACTAAAACTTTTCATTTAAATCAAACAGTTGTGAAATATTAAAAATTTCAATGGTTTATGGTGATTTATTGACTCATGTCTCAAAAATTCTTACGAAATATTGTTTTACTCCCTTTCTTTCTAATAAAATGATTTGAATTATTCTATTGATTTAGTCTTTCGAATAAAACCGAGATTTAATCTTCGAGCTATATCATCGAATCAAGTTGAAATGAGCATTACATCTCTAAATCCATCAGCATTTTGTGAAAAGACTGTTATACCAAAGCTCACTGCGACAAGCAATCAAGTAAATTAAATAAAAATACACAAAATAATCATCTTAGAATTTGTATTTCTTCTTCAGACATGGACAGTTGTTGAATCAAATCGAAATAATATTTTAATTGATAATCTTTCGCCTGATTCTATGTATCATATATGCATGAAATGTCGACAGATATATTCTGATCCAGACGGCGTTGCCGAATGTCAAGAAATAAAAACATTAAGCAGACTAGGTAAGATATTCGAAAACAAAATTCATTTGTAAAAATAATATTATTTTCTTTTATTTAAGAATGGTTTCTTCAAAATAAGTTTTTTATTATTGTGATTGCTATCGTCGTAGTTTTACTTTTTATCGCTGGTCTTATCTATTTGTGAGTAATTGAGTAATTGAATAATGTTTTATGATATCCTTCAATATTTAGTTTTCGACGAAAAATATGTAATGGTAAAAAAAGATACAAACAAGTAAGGCATATTACGTACATTATTAGTATGAATGAGTACAGAGATGAGAAGTTATTGTTAGTGTTCTGTTATAAATAACAAATAACTTTTTTTTCTGAAAATTCAGCTAGCTTCATACATTGATTGAACTATAAAAATGTTATTTATCTATTATTTATAACAAATAATAATAAATTCTTATCACTAATGATGTATGTATTCTAGGTAAAAAGTAGCAGTGAGTCACCATATAGAAGTGAAGATCCAGACCGTTACGTTCAAGACCAAGTATCTAGTTCAAGATCAAATATCTCAACAGATCATAATAATTCAATTTCTCAATCATATGTAATTCAACAGATAATCGAAATGTTTCGTCACGTTGAATTCATTTTAAAGTGTTTCTAACGAATCAAAATTTAGAAGTTTAAATTACTAGACAAAAAAAGCATTTGACTTTGAACAAGATTCTTGATAAAATGTTAATAATATGAATTGAGTGATAGCTTCAATTTAGTTCAATACCAAATCTTGTAGAGAAATATTGACTTTACAACACAATCTTTAGTATGTTTGAAAAGAGATTAGGTAGAGTATTTAGAAATCATATTTCAAGCTTTTTGACAAGTTTCTCGTTACTTCAGAATAAAAATAGATTCTTAATCGAAAAGAACGTAAAGTTGTACTTGAATTTCATATATTTTGATTCATTGAAAACATCTTCTAGTGAATTAAAAGTGAACAAACTTTTTGATGATTTATTATTTTCGTTAATTTAATATTATATTATTTTAGCCTTATTATCCTACCATTATACCAGGTGGTCGTTACTATCGTTCAATTGCAGATATAACTGAAGTTATAGATCAATGTGCTGCACCAGAAATTTTATCCTGACTTAAAAACTAGTTTAATTTTGTTATTAAATATAGTTTTTAATTCTGGTCATATTCATGTAGATAATGCGTAATGATGTTTGTTTTCATTTAAAATTTTTATTGATAATATGAATTTATTTGTATTTTTATTCTGGAAATGTATTAATTCAATGTTGTATCCTATTTAAAAAAAAATAGAAAAATATAATATTTTTCTCTCGTATGATATATATATATATATATAAAATCGATTAACAGAGGTATCAAATATCCCAATAAAAGGATTTACAGTTAATCGAATAAAATCAAAGTCATTTTTTATAAAAATATATCATGAT